AAATTAGATTTACATTTTTGTTCTTCATCAATATTCACCTCACCTCATGTAATCTGGTATCTGACATGGTATGAACGGGTGTGGGGAGATCCCCACTACCTGAAATTTAGTGCGTTTATCTCATGGAAACATCCCATTCTCCTAGACATTTTTATATGTGGATTGTCATGAAGATAATTTCTCCCTAAGCTGTACTGCTTAATTAATTAATAATAATAATAATAATAATAATAATGGTTTATGCAGAGTTTTTATGAATAAAAATAAATTCAAGGAGATGTTACATAGCTAAGGCCTATGAGTTTCACCTAAGGAGCTGCATTAGATCACAGATCAAGTTAATGATTAAAGAAAACAATTGAGTCCCCAGGAGCCAGGCTGGCTCAAATTCCTTTAATCTTAATGCTGAACGATGCTGTCACAGTTTTAGGTGTGCATCATAGGTGAAACAAAGCCTTAAAATAACTTCAGATTAGATCATATGTTTTGATAATAGTTTTAAGATGAAAACTCTCAGAAAGCAATCTAAAGTTTACAAGGACAAGCTGAGTTATACATTCATTAGGGTAGGGTCAAAAATACAAAGCAGCCCAATTGTTGCTAGCTGATGTGAATGTATGTGGGCTCTTGGGATAATTTGTTTTTCATTTGTAATATGTAAAATGTTTAATCAAAGGGAGATAAGAAAGATATTTTTTATGAGTGTTCATTGTAATCATTCACTTGAAAAATGAAATGTAACCACATTCTGATTCCTGTATTGCCTGAAAGATTTTGATGGGGTATATAAGCTGTAGAAGAAAAGAGAAGAATAGGATAATAAAGAAGGAAACCATCAAGAGAGTGTGTGAGTGTCTTTTCCATAACCCCTGCAGATAGAAAAGTCTTAGTATGTATTGACGCCTTGGATTCCTTTCGAGCCTTGAGCTCTCTGCAGGATCTTAAAGCAGAGCTTAGCATATCAAGTACAGCTACAGTAATACCTACTACAGCTGTGTTTCTTTGCAGAATTGCAGGTGAGTTAAGAAGTTGTAGCATAAAAGGATGGGCCTGTTTGTGCATCTTGATTCAGCCTATCTTTTTTTTTTCTTATAGAGTGATCATACATTTGAGAGTAAGTACATGGTATTATATGACACAGCATGAGGATATCATAGTTCACCCTTTTCCCTGCCAGTGTCACAATTTTTTTCTTCTTCACAACTGATTAAAGCTCATTGTGTAGGTCCTTCTACACTACCACTAGTCATTTATTTGTGAAAGTATACAGAAACTGACTTTGTTGCCTATTGTGAGTAGTGGCAGGAAATTTTAGAAATATCTCAGGCTAATCGATCTTAACATGTATGCTGTCAGGCATGGTATGTCTTCTTGACAGATTCAGCCTGTCTTTCTCTCCCTTGCCTGCTATCTCAGTCTCCCCATCTTTCTTGTATCACATCCCTTTATGCTGCTTTTCCATACTGAGTGTAACCTCTCTTCAAGGGGTGTTCATTGTTTGGGTATTCTATTCTTAATCTGTATCTCCTTCCCATCTCATCTGGTGACCAGCACTCAGGAAACAAGTCTTCTGAGCTAATGCTTCTATTTCTTGTCTCTTTGTCTTTCATTCCTTTACTCCGTAAATATGTGAGCACTGATTGTTTACTAGCACGAAGCTGTCTAGTTAACCAAATTTTTAATAAAATCAAGACACGGTAACTGAGGAAACCACTGCATTGATAATATTGTGTTGACACAGGAAAGAATAGAGAATGAAGGACTGTATGCAGATGGGGGCAAGGTGCTTCTCCTTTACCTGAAGTACTCTTTTTCATCCCCCCTGCCTCCAAGTCACTCCTATGCTTTCACAAAAAGGCTCTGACTCATTCCGTGCAGAAGTCCTTCCTTGACTGTTAGCCAAGGCTGGGTGAGGTACTCCCTCAGGTGTTGCCCTATGCCTGGTGTGAACCCAACAGTCAGAGGTGGGCTTTGCACTTGCTATGTTTTGGGATCCTTGCCCAAGCTATGCATTCCTGAGATCAAGACTGGTTTGTATTCATCTGTAATTGTACTTCTGCCTTATGGGTTCTGGTACCCAACAGGCATCTAACAATAATAGAAGTAAAAGCTATGCAAAGCTCACATCTGTGCTTCTGTTAGTATTTACATTATGGGAGCCAAACCATGCCAGGAATTACAAAAAATGTTTTCCTATAGACCAGGCATATTTTTAAAGGTTAAGTTTTGTCTAATAACTTCTTGCATAATTTCTAAAGCATATATACATTTTAGAGCATTTGGAAAATACTAAAATTGTGAGAACAATGGGAAATCCTGTAATTCATTCCTGCTGTTTAGAGCTTTTGGTAATATATTTGCTTCACAGGCTTCAGGTCCAAAGATCGATTTGTCTGTCTATCTGTCTGTTATCTATCTAACCCATCATCCATCTAAATACTTACCATCTATCACCTATCTTTTCTATATCTTTATAATTTTCTTAGAGTTATAACTTTTCCCTACAATGAAATACAAATGAATGCCTCCCCGTTTTAGAAGATTACTGATATGTGTTTGCTAAGTCCAGGACCTGAGGCACCATCCCTCAGCATTGCGTAAAATGAAGTGCTTAGCTTGAGGCTTGCCTGTTGACCACACAGATGGTAGGGCAGTGCAATCACATTACATACAGTGAAGCCAGACTGTTTTCTACTTCCAGGAATGGGTTTCATTCTGTTTCCCCAGGAGCAAGGTCAAAAGGGGCAATTTTTCTTGTGCTTGCCTTCTGAGAACAGATAATGTTTTCATTCATCACGACTCTGAAAATGTAATTCTCTAGAATGCCAGCCTTAGGTTAGGATGGAGAAAAGAGACTATGGGTATTCTAGGGTGCTCTCCAGCCTGGGTTAGCCTTATCTATGGTCAGCTCTTTCAAGCCAGCTTTCCAAACAGAGAAAGCTGTCCTTCAGGTAGAGCTTTTCATACCATTCTCATTGGCCTGTAATTCCCAACTTTCTTGCCACATTTTCTTGAAAATAATGCTAATTATATTTTTTTTGAAAATTTAGGATGCAAGTGTTTTTTTATTTCTCCCTTACCATGAGTTAAATAGAAATGTCAGCAATCCCCATTTTAGAGTATTTAGTTTGTCTCCATACATAAATTAAAATAAGCATTCTTGTAAAGATATCTTTGATTAATTTCTGAATGTATTCATAGAGGTAAAACTGCTGGGACAATGAATGTAGACATTTTTAAGCATTTTGAGTGATGCTTCCAAATCTTACCCCAGAAAGACGGACTCAAATTATGCACTCACATCAATGTCCATTTATTTATTTTTAAGTTTTTATACACAGTGACTGTGAATTCCCATGAGACTTGTACATTGAGACACATGAAAGCCTAGGATGCCCTTGGAACTACTGCAGTCTCAGATTTACTCTGTTATTTACTGAATATTGGAGGCCATCAGAAGTCATTGTTAACACAAGTCTAGGGCTTAAATGTGGTGGATGACAATGTTTGGCATGCAGTTTGTGCATCTCCTTCTCTCAGGAAGCCAATTCCAGCCAGGTGGGTGAATTAAAGATATAGATAATGGATTGTGATACATCAAAAAAAAAAAAAAAAAAAGAGCTCAGGCTAGATCTGAAGGTTACTGAAGCCTCCAGCATGTTATAAAGAGTCCTTTTGGAGGCAGAGGTTAGTGGTGCTTGAAGGACAAAAGCTATCTGATTATAATCTTGTTATGATGCTCAACACTCTCAACTGTGGTCCAGCTTTTAAATACTGTTCCAGTTTGTGGAGCTGAAGGAAGAGTCTTTGAGCATGTGGCTCACATTCCTCCCAGAGTGTCTTTCTGTAAACATCACCATGCTCATATTTAAATCAGCTCAAATTTGGGAATCTTATAGAAATCAAAGGCTGGAAGCACCAAAGACCCTGTCAGCTTTTCTGAAAGGCCAAGAAGACAGTTTTAAGGACTTTAGACTGAGTTGAGAGTTTTTTGCCCTTCCTGGATGGCAAGCTTGTTTTTCAACTGGAGCTTCAGAACTTGTAGACAATTAAATATGCACTTAAGCTGCACACTACTCAGTGTGTATTTGAGTGGCATGCTAGAACCTCTCCAACCTTCTCTGAAAAACCATATTCTTCAAATATATAAAATGTATTTGCATATACATTTTAAAACTGAAATTATATGTTCTACACTAAGCTTAGGCTCACAATGGGGCACAGAAATAGGGACTGAGATGGTATAGTACTTTATCAGAGCAAAGGAGGTGTCTCTAGACAGTTGTGAAGGGCTGGAGATGGCTGAGTCATTCAGTATCTGCCTGTCTCCACTGGCCTAGCAGAAGTTAAAACCATGTCTCGGGAGGGAAAACGGCACTGAATTAGCCTCCAGGACATAGTGACAGGACAGAGGGGATTGGAGCCTGGTAGAGGGTTAGATCTTTTTCCTTCCAAGCTCTCAGTGTACCCATTCTACTCAGTTGGTCTTATTAAATTATTTCATTGTCACCTTTATGGTAAAAGAACAGTGAAAGAGGTGAGAAACCTGTTACTCTGGGAAGAGCTGGGATCTAAAGCTTCTCTAAAGTTCTCACCCCCTTATCTGAATCTGGTTTACGCTGAATTATTCACATACAGAAGTTAATGATGCCGATGTATGAATTCCAGTTATTTGAACTTCACCTGGAAGGAATAATAGGGGACATAGCATGGGGCAGGAACATAGGAGCAGGTGAGTATCAAGACCCTGCATGAGATATGGACTGGCAAGCAGATAAGGATAGCAGACTCAATGGGCCTTCGTGACTTACCCTAAGAGAGAAAGATGGTACCTGGCCAAAGCAAGACATCTAATTATTAGCTCCTCTTGCCTGAGGATGTGGTTCAAACTGGCCATTTTAATTAAGACAATGACTACTTGGGAATACATTTATGCCCATATCTGACAAATGGGAGCAATCTTTGACCTCATCAAAATGATCTATAAATATACACTGTACCTGAAAGCTGCCTGTGAATCTTGGTGGCAGCCTGCCTAGAAGTTCTGCTTCAGAATTACAAGGATTCTCTGGGTCCAGGTCTGAGTCTGTGGCACAGGACGTCCACCAAGTGCATTTGCCAGTCACCAGTCTTCCAAGATGCTCTAAAATAGACCAAAACAATACATTCTGCATCTCACTTTTGAAGCTTCAGCCTGTATTTACATATTAAGGCCCTCTGTATAGTGAGACAGTTGTGTAGCTTGATCTGCTTAAGGGGCCCCCTGGCAGTAGGATCAGAATCCATCCCTGGTGCATTAGCAGGATTTTTGGAGCCCACCACCTATGATGGGACACCTTGCAGAACCTTGAGGCAGGGGGAGGAGCTTGGACCTGCCTCTACTAAATATACCTCCCCATGGGAGGTCTTACCTTCTTGCAGGAGGGAATGGGGGCTGGGTTGGGAGGGGGAGGTTGGAGGGGTGAGAAGAGGGAAGAGGGGGATCTTTGATTGGTGTGTAAAATAAATAAAATTTTTTCTTAATAAAAAAATCCACTTGGGATGAATGGTACTAGATTATTCATTTACAGTGAGCTGTCGAGAGCAGCAGATGCTATTGGTTTGTGTGAGTGGCATTAGAGGAGAAAAGATAAAAGGATGAAAGGACTCATCAAATAAAAAATGCAGTAACACATTCACCAAGAAGACTAATCCATTAATGGAAAAGCTGTGTGGTGTTTTTTTTTGTTGTTGTTGTTGTTGTTGTTTTTGTTTTTTTCCATACTGATAAGATAAAATGCCTGCCAAAAGCAAGCTAAGCAGAGAAAGTTTGTTTTGGCTCACAGTTCAAGTTGTCAATCAAAGTGGATAAGTCAAGGTTGCGGAAACTTGAAGCAGCTGACCAAACATGCCATGCACAATCAGGAACAGAGAAGAATGAAGGTACACTGTGCTGATGTTCATCTCCCTTTCTCCACTCAGTCTGGGATATGAGCCAGATAAGGGTTCCACTCCAGTTAAGATGGAGCTTCCCACATCAATGAACTTAATGAAGATCTTGCCCCATGGGCACATCCAGAGCTATTTCCAAAGTGATTATGGATTTTGACAGCTTGACAGTTAGGCATCCTACTAGGTGATAAGATTTGAAAGGCTTGCTTCTTTGCGTTCACCCTGATGTTACACGAATGAGATTTCAATATTCTCAATTTTCTGACTAATCAGAAGTTAGTTATTGTAAGTTATGGTTTTAACAGAAATGCATGAATTTTGAGAAAAAGAACCAATACTTTAAACAACAAGTTTGTCTAAACCAAAGGCAAAGAAGTAGTACTTTGTTATTTCATCCCATGAGGTGTGGAGTCAGTGTATTTGGTGACTCTGAGCCACCATCTCTGGAGAATACCATCTGGGGAGATACTTTGTCCCAGAAATATGGTCAAGCCCTTAAGTTTTCTCTTTTGATTTCTATCATCTATCCTCTGCTCTTAGCAATGACCTGTTTGTGCACTTTGATTTCCCCATGGACGTGCAATCGGGTTGCTGAACTTTGTTCTTTGTTGTGATTTCCTGTGCTTGGGACTTGCAAGGTGTTAAAAGGTTCTGAATGACATCACTTTTCTGATAGGATCATCCTTTATGATTTCTATTCTGTATTCTTGACTTCCAATGGCTTGGGAATAGGATGTAGCATCTTTCTTCATTCTGTTTCTTTTTAAAAAATAGCTTTGGATAGTCTGTATTTTTTACCTTTGGACATATATTTTAGAGTGAACTTATTAGATTCTTTACAAGAATGTGGTGGTATTATTGTTCTGATTGCCCTGAATTATCAAAAAAGAGAAATCAACATCTGAACAATGTCAATGAAACCTTTGTGTAAACTGTGATGTAAGTTTTGAAGGCATCACAAGAGGAAGCATCATCTCTGCCCTGAATTGGAGGGTGGGAACATCACATTAAATGGTCTTTAGTCATAAGCATCTATTATCAGCCTCAGAGTTTATAGTCCTGCAAAGTGTCTCAGCTGGCAGGTATTAGAATGCTCAGACTTGCTTAGTGTGCACAATGTTTTCTGGCTTGGTGGATTGTGCTGCCTTCTTTTAAGATCACTTCTATGCTGTGACATAACAATGGTGCTTTTATTCTTAACTTTTTTTTTATATATTAGTGGGGTAATTCCATACATGTTTACATTATATAATGATTAAATTTGGGGTAATTAACATTTCCTTCCCTTTAAGGCTTTGTCATTTATATGTGTTAGGAATGTTCGGACATTTCTAATTATTTAGAAGTATATGATTACTTATTCATTTCCTCACAGTGCTACAGAACACTGAAATAGTTCTTCCTAGCTATTGTATTTGGGGCACCTTATCCAGCTTTTCATCATCCCCCCACCCCTTGCTAGTCAGTATGACTACTGTCCTCCTCTCTAACCTTTAGAAGTATATTGAGCTGTTTTGACCCCTTTTCCTCAGAGTTGGCAGGCACAGTGTACAATCTTAAACTAGGATCAGGAGGATCAAGTTCTATTCCAGAGTTTGCTGTGGATTTGGTGATTAAGGGAAATTAGTAAAGAATGCTGAAGCCATCTATAATGGAGGTCACTTAGTAAGGACGGTACCATTCACAAAGCTTGGAGGGAGCAGAGGGGAGTGTTGGGATGCCTGGAAGGAAGAAATGTGAACCTTCAGGTGTTGTTACTAGCTGGGAGTGAGCCAGGAGAACCAACCACATTTCCCTCCTTCCTTCATTCTCTTGCATGCCCCTTCCAATTGTTGACTCAGTCAGAAAGTAGAAGTCCAGGGAAGGGTTCAGTCCTTAGAACTTGGCTTCCTAGTGATAACGAATATGTATCTGGAGCAGGAAGTGGAGATAACATGCCACAGAAGTACCTGCTAGAGTCTACATAGGATGTGACAGCCAGTGGACGTTCCTTCCAAGATTACCACAGACAACGGTTGTAGGGGCCGACACCCAGAGTCTACAGAATATAATATAGTTTGTTGTCTCAAGAATACTGGCAGGTTTTGTGTTATAGCTTCTGTTTGTTTGATTTGTTTTCCTTTCTTAAATCCAAGCTAAATGTAGGCATATGGACTTCTAATTCTAGAAATCCATATAAAGGGCTGGAGGGATGACTCCATGGTTAAAAGCAGAAAATACTCATGCAAAGGACCCAAGTTCAGTTCTTAGCACCTCTGTCAGACAGCTCACGACCAACAACAACTCTAGCTCTAGGGCATCCAACACCCTATTTTGAACTAGGTGGATACACACACACACACACACACACACACACACACACACACACACAATTAAAATAAACTTATCAGGTAAAGGCCCACACTCTGCTGCAGCGCTACCCTGTCTCCTGAAGACTGTGTCTCCTAAAAGCAGTCCCCAGATAGGATGCCCACTCAGGCCACATTTCCACTCCTCCTTCTGGAGTCAAACTGTCCACACCAAACTGTGTGGATGTGCTTGCTCTTTTACGTCTGTCTTCACCAAATAGCATTGTTTAGGATTCTCTCTGTTAGAGTGTCAATAATTCTAATAACCCATGTTTTGGAGTACTGATTGTTAAGTACTGAAATAAATTTTTCCCATGTGTTTCAGCATTTGATCTTCAGATGTCCACTCTCAGTATTATTATACCTAATCACAGGTGAAAAAAGAAAAAGAAAAGAAAATCTCTATAGAAAGATGAAGAGCCTTGTCCATCTGGTCTGGGATGTGCATTGTGCGACTGTGACCAGTGCGCTCTGACAGTCTGATATGGTGCCTTGTGTCATGCATCCATTCCCATGGGAGACATTGGCTGTTTCAGCAATCTGGAAATAAAATGTCGATTTTTCTCTTTAAAAAAAAAAAATCTTCACAATCAGAGTTCACATGCTCACATAGTGTAGACCTGAGTTACTCAACCCCAACCTGCTTCTCTGATTCAGCTTTAATTCTTTTATTTTAAAAATGTGATTATTTTCTTTGATGAAAGCTAATGTGAATGTAAAGAATAACTTTATAAGCTATTTGGAGGTTCTGGCATCAGGAAAGTTCTGCACTGGCTCTTTTAGGGGAGATAAGAGTTTATGGGCTATATAGATAGAAGAAATTGTGCTCTGTAGGATTAGAACCTTGTAAGATGTTCATCATGCTAGACAAGCTGGCTTACAACAGGGCATCATGCAGCCTCCATGCTTGTGGTACAGGCAGCATTATGAAAGGCTTATGAATTATGTCAGGTAGGAGACAATTAATTACATCCATGCTTATTCCCCATCTGTGTAAATTTACTTCATCATTCCCTATCGCTTACAGATGTGGGTTCTTTAATGTCTAGAAATCAATTGCAAATTCTTCATTTCTCTCATTAATCAGTGAAAAAAAAATTTTACTGACACATGTTCATTTAAAAATTTTATAAGCATTTTGAATCTCTCTTCTGAAAACTTTTTGCAGTATCTTTTTGTTTCCACAAAAGAACATATAATATTTTATGCTTCTTGATACCTTCCCCTGGAAAAATGTTTTAATGCAGATTCCTTTATATTTCATGAAACACTATAAGAAACCCTGTTCCAGAAAGAACCCAGTAACTCAGAAGCAATGCTGCACAGCACATCCCAGCCTTACATAATATACAACATAACAACGTACAACACCCTTGAGATGCAGAGAGGGCAAGTAGTCCTGCTCTCCTGTGCTCCTGGCTGCTGTGGGCACACAGAAGAAGAGAAATCATCCTAGAGTCAAAAGAGGATATTCACTGTAACCTATTAGTAAATTTTAGTTTAAAATATCATTGTAAAACTCTAAAATAGCTGATTGATTCCAGTCTTCCCTGACTTTGTTCACCATAGCCTTTTAATTCCCCTCTTAGACAGCAAAATAAGACTCTTGGTAAATGCGAAGACAGGCATGATAGCTCTGACCTGGAATCCCAGAACTCAGGACACTGAAGCAGGGAGATTGCCATGAATTCTAAGGCCAGCCTGTGCTATTCAGTGAGTTGCAAGCTAGCTTTAGTTACAGAGTGAGACACAAACACCTCTCACCCCCCCCACACACACAATAAACAAATACAAAAAGCTCCACTATGCAAACAAAACCAAATAACCTCCCCCAAAGATATAAAACTTCCAGAAATCTTCCCTATGATTTCTAAATAGTGCAAACTTTTGACTGCATAAACCTTCTAGCGCGATGAGAGGAAAGGGGAATTCTTCACTGAAAATATGGTCTGAGGCAAAGATTTTAGGGTGTAAGGAGCTCACAAATGTGTCATAGCAAGCAGGGTTCTTTGGTTCTGTCTGCCAGAACAGGTGGGTCAGGTGTAATGAGAAGGCTCTGCCTGTGGGCATCCTGGTGGCTTGGTGAGCCAAAGCTTTGCATCATGCTCCTGGGAGATTACAGCTTTGTAATCTAGTAAAAACTAGATTGCCCTAGTGGGGTGGGTTTTGTCTTGATTTGATAGCACGTATGACGTAAAGTTGTCTTTAGTGTTTCTCCAGGAACACTTTCTGCTGCACTCATAAGTTACCCTTTGTGTCCTGATCTATAATGTTGGCACAAGGAAGTGATGTCTTCCTGGGCCTGTGTCTTACTTAGTGTTTCTGCTGCTGCTGTGATAAAGCACCATGAGCAAAAGCACCTTGGGGAGGGAAGGGTTTATTCTCAACTCACAGTTTCACATCACAGTCAGTCACTGAGGGGAGTCAGAACAGGACCCCAAACAGAGCAGGAACCTGGTGGCAGAAGCTGTTGCAGAGGCCATGGAGGGGTGCTACTTACCGACTTGCTCTCAATGGCTTGTTCAGCCTGCTTTCTTATAGTACTTAGGACCACCTCCCCAGGGGTGGCACCACCCACAATGAGGGATCTTTGACATTAATCTTCAATCAAGAAAATGCTTGCCCACAGGCCAACCCAGTAGAGACATTTTCTCAATTGTGGTTCTTTATTCCAAAATGACTCTAGTTTGTGTCAAGTTAACATAAAACCAACCAGCACATCCTGTTACTAACAGGGGCTAATTGGAAGTTATCTCCAAGTAAGAATGAAGAGAATATATTTTTTGTTTAACTTGCTTCCCTTCCCATAGTATATCTGGGCTAAAATAATAATCTATTTGGATGGAGCTGATATGAAATGACTTCCATTTAAGAAGACTATGGATTAAACATTGTTATATGAGCATTATGGATGTGGGTGGAATATAAAGTAGAGGGAAAATACTGAATTGCCAGAAGAAGTATGACTAGCAGCCTGTGTTTCCTTCTCTGCTGCAGCCTTCAGAGTGTTAGTGCCTAGTGGTCAGGAGCTGACTATGTCATTAAACTGTCTATTTTGAATCTAGGCTATTACACATTAGCTGCATGGCTGTCACTTTCTCAGTGTTTCCAGTCTCCCCAGAGCTGTAATACACTCCAATGGCCTTATCAATAAAAGGGGCCAGTCAAAGTAACCCAACTCACTAGACTATGGGGAGGATTAAGTGACTGTTCAAACTAAGGCATTCAGAACTCTGAAACAGTTAAGGTTTCCATATATGATAACTAATACATTAGAGTAGTGAAGTCAATGGAGCACTTTCACAAGAGGAAGATAGCAAGAACATGTTCTCCCTTTTCCAGAGGCTTCTTCCATCTGTTTCCTACTCACAGAATGAGCAGCCCTCTCTCACGCAGACAACTTACTGCTCACAGCTGATGCCTTCGAAAGGCTTGTCTGGACTTTCTGTCCTGCCTTCCCTCAAACATGTGAAGCAGGTCAGGGTTTTCATACTGATGATCTGTCTGGGTGAGGAAGGTAACTGACACCATAGAACTGACCCAGTGCATCTGTAAGATGCAACCAGGCACAGAGCTCCTCTGTGTTGCATTGCCAAGTGGGGAGCCATCCTGGATTTCAGGGCTGGATATGTTCTTTTTACCAGCAGCTTTGCTACAGAGAACATTGCTACAAGTTCAGTAGACATAAGACATCTCTGACATCTGGCTAATGGTACATGGAAGAATTGTTTCCCCTGGCGAAATAACGTGAAGGTTCATTTAGGGCCATTGGGTTATCCTGTATAGACTTGACACATGACAGTGCTGTTGAAGAGGTCTGCTAATCAAGGAAGATGTGATGCTTCTCTCAGCCTCAGGAGATGATTCGCAAACTTTCACTGTAGACTGTTATACATTACACCCTTGCATTGATACTTGGAAGTATCAAGTTTCATAGAAAAGTAGTTTCTAAGAAAAAAAAAAAAAACTCAGCCAAGGGTGTGGTGGTTCGAATGAAAAATGCCCCCATGGGCTTAGGCATCCAAATTCCTGGTCCTATCCATGGCTGTTTGGGGAGGTCTAGGAGGTGCAAGGCACTAGGGTCACTTTCAAAGCATAGAGCCTCATTTCACTTCTAGTTTGTTTTCTGCACCTCCAGTTTGTGGTTGAAGGTGTGATCTCTCAGCTTCCTGCTCCGGCCACTGTTCCTGCCTGCTGCCATGCCTCCCCACCATGATGGACTCTTATCTGTCTGGCACTGTAAGCCAAAATAAACTCTTCCTTCTAAGTTGTTTTTGGTCATGGTATTTTATTACAGCAACAGAAAAGTAACTGGGCTACAGGAAGAGGATAGGCTTAAAATCCAGGCATCTTTTCAAGATCAGTATCAAGCTATCTTTTTCCACTAAGGTATTTTCCTTTCCTCTGTTATGTCAGGAAACTAGATATTCTAAACTTCAAAGGACTCAGGATAGATGAGAGCAAAATTCTGAATTTGATACCTGATTAGAAAGCCATGGTTGGAAAGCTACATTGGCTGGTGCTTACCCTGCCACGTATGATTTCTACAACTTCCAGTCACTTACCTCTGCTTCCCTTTTAGGCCCCTGAGTTTCTCTCTTCTCTATTTCTCATTTTATTTTCCTTTGCTCTGTGAGTATTAGCCTATTCATGCTAGACTTGTAAGTTCTAATACATATTTTTCTCAGACTTTTACATTTGAAGGCTACTAAAGTGAGACAGATTGCTGAGAACATTCCTTGTCTTAACTATTTCCAAAGGTGTCTCCCAGAATTATTAGGAAGGGTCATACCAGGTGGAGGAGTTTTGATGATGTGGTGATTATCATACCATTGAACTACACCTGAGCAAAGAATGGATGCTGTAATTGTACAAAACTGTTCTCCCCAAGAATATGAGCCTGAAGGCATATGGGGACCTTCGAGGGAACATGAACCATACTAAAGATGTATTTTCAGTGATCTTTCTCATTCTTCTCTGGGGAAACATCACAAGGATTGATTTAAATACTTGAAAGAAGCTGGAGGATCATTGTACTAAGGCTACTGTCCAGGTCCCAAAATACATCTAGAAAGTGGTAAAAGGAACAGCACTCTGAACTCTGAGAAACAGCACAGCACGTGCCCAACAGAAAGAGATGGGAGAAGCGGTGGGGATGCTATTACCTTTGTATATTGTACTATTTGAGTGAACACTTCCATGCACTATAAGTGAGGAAATGGCTGATGCAGCTATGGATAGAGTAATTAGTGAGTCATCTGGTGTAGGGCAATGTGGGAAGCCCATTACCCCATTACTCTGTGTCCTGTGCTGAACAAGCTTTGGCTATCTCAACAGTAGATAATGTTGACATAATACTATGCACTTTTTTGGTGAAGATTCAAAGTGCAAAGAGAAGGTATATCATTCAAAGAACAATAATGTAATTGTGTAGTTTCTCCCATTGACATTTAGAGTCTACTGAAAAGGAAGCATGGGTCACCAGGATAGGAAGTTTGTCTAGTCTTCATCCTCATCCACTGTACACATTTCTCTAAGGTGTCCCAGGGGTCAATTCTTCCAAGTTCTTTTTAAGAATACATAGTTCTGGTCATAGTATCAAGCCAGGCACAAACACATGTACTTGACATCCCCCCACGGCCTTCCTTTTGAACTTCTTTGCAGTCCGCATCGTTTGCCCTTATCAATTTCTCCACTTCTGAATCACAAGACTGGTGTTGCTGCTTGGGGGTCAGACATCAGCATAACTGAACCTTGCTTTGATTTTGATCTTTTCCCTTAATTAGCAGAAGCCATTTCCATGGTAAAAGGAAGAGTGTGATTTTTTTTCTCTCTGACTTCAAATGCCACGTTGTTTTTTTTTCCCTGTGAGCTGCCAACTTATTGCCCCATTTCTAATTTAAAATATTAAACAGAGCTGCTATTCCCCAACCACAGCTACAGCCAGTAGTGAATTTGCCTTCCACTTTGGGAATATAAAACTTGATTAGAATTTCTCTTTATGCTATGAAGAAAGCATTTAAACCAGAGTTCTAAATCCTCAGGTAATGTGCTTGGCCACTTTAGGCAGAAATAATTTCTCTAGTAAAGAACACAGGAACCCTGCCATTGGGACAATGTTTGCAGCTCAGTCCCAGGAGATCACTGCTGGAGAGGACCTGGAAAGAGGGCTTACCATGAGACACTCTAACTTACCATGTTCTTGCTCTGCTTCTCCATTTGACGTTTTATTTCTTCTTTTAAAATTGGAACTTCTGGGCTTAGTGAGCCAGGGAGAATGAGAGCATCCCTGGGGGAATGATGCAGGATCTCACTGAAAGAAAGTACATGCTGAACTTTGCAGCTGTTATTTGCCATTTCAAAAACAACAGCAAAGATTAACAATTAAAATTCTATGTTTCAAATAGTAAAGTGTCAATAGGGATGAAGTTAAAGTTCTAAATGCAAATGTTCTTGTATAACCAGAAACAACAGCCCAAGGATAATATCAACTACAGTGAGTTTGGCCCTTCCACATAAATCACTAATTAAGAAAGTGCCTGTAATAGACTTACTATAGGCCAACCTTCTGGACACATCTTCTCAATTAAAATTCTCTCTTCCCAAATATGTCTAGGTTTGTGTCAAGTTGACAAAAACCAATCAGGACAGACACAGAACTAAACTACATAATGAAAATTGGTTATTAATTACTGCATTTTTCGTGATTGTCTTAGTGACACACTACCATTGAGAAGTCTGTGGAGCACTTAATAGCACATGGGCCATTAAGACTTGATTCTTTAATCCCAGCACTCAGGAGGCAGAGGCAGGTGGATCTTTGCGAGTTTGAGGCCAGCCTGGGCTACCAAGTGAGTTCCAGGAAAGGCGCAAAGCTACACAGAGAAACCCTGTCTCATAAAACCAAAAGAAAAAAAGACCTGATCTTGGAAAAATAAGCCAAGCAGAACGTAGAACATGGGTAGAACATGAAAATGAAATCCAGTGAATGAACACTTTCAGAGCAAGGGTCAATAGCATGAGAGTATTCTCTTAAATAAGAACCTACTCCTACAATGGCTGGTTTTGTGCCTTCTCATTGTTCAGTCTCCTCACCTACAAACTTGTCATTAACATTAAATGGGTTAACCCATTTAAGTCTTTGGAAAACAGCCTGAAACACAGTAAAGCTTAATTAAATGATTAGTTGTTATGGAAATAACCAGAAGCCCATAGTGCACTTTTGTTACTATGGTAAGGGGGAAAGAGTTAATGGTCATAATCCCACTGGAACTAGGAAAGCATCATGGAGGATTTAGGAAGCTTCATGATTATAAGATAGGAAAGAGAATTTTGTAGATTGAAGGTGCTGGAAAGTGTCAATGTGGGAATGAAGTGTTGATTAAAGAAACTTTGGAGATATAAAATTACAGCTAGATCTTAAATTATATATGGCATATGACTCCAACCCTAACCCAGAAGTTATCTTCAATTGATAAGTACCTGCAAATGAACATTTAGTTTTCTCCAGGGGACTCTCACTGAGGAAAAAAACTACTCATAAGGGTTGACAGCATGCCCAGCAGTAGATGGCCAGTGAAAATGAACTCAACAGCATCTTTGGAGGCTCCTTGCCACATAATGTTGTATCAGGGTTTTAAATTTTTTTATTTATATATATATATATATATATATATATATATATATATATATATATATATATCCATCCCTTTATGCAATTTATGTATATATTAGGGCTTCCAGTTTTTCTTTATTGATATTTGTGAGTATGCAAATGAGTGGGAATGAGTGGGTCTCTGCATCTATATCTGTTTCTTGTGCCTTTTCTTGGGTTCTTTTACTTCTATATGTTTGTATTGTCCTATTCTGATATGTTAGAAGCCAGCTTGTTTTTTAATGAGAGACAGAAAGGGTACGGTAGATCTGGATGGAAGGGGGAAGGAGGAGGGAACTGGGAAGAGTAGAGCCAGAAGAAACCTCTCTCCAGATATACTGTATGAGAAAATAAACTACTTTCAATAAAAGAAAAACATTATAGATGGCAAATGTATTTCTGTTTGTGCCCAAATTATGAATTTACTAACTGTTCTAAGGTCACATGTAGATTCATAAGTCCCAATGTGGCAGAAAGTCAGGATTTCTGAGTCATTGCAACATGGCATCCTGTTGAACATTCCTTCTTCTGTCCACAATGTCAGGGGGCATTGCATCTTTGCCACCCATCACAAGAAACTCGGATTTGGTTCATGATGAATTAGGGATCTATGGGGGGGGTTCTACTGAGAGGCATTAAAAAAAAGGCAAATAATTCAACACCTGCTATGGAGACCACTTCTTGGGAGCACATTAAATCTGAAGTTTGGCATTGATATTTCAGGATTGGTATTCTAAGTCTCCATTTTACAATGTCAAAGCCTTGGGGTGATACTATCTTTGTGGGAAAGGCACCATAGGGAATGGGATATGCCACTTACAAAGGAAGTGATTTTGCACAGGCATCGTTTTCTGTAAGTCTCAGTCTACTCGTCTTCAGCTCAAGGATGACTAGGCTGTTTCCAGGGTCAATTGAAATAGAATGCACCAGGTCCCAATGTGACCATTAGGTGAAACGTTCCTGGTAAAGGTTAGCTTCCCTGCCACTCTTCCTTGCTCTCCTCTGTGGATGCTGCTACCAAAGGTAGCCAGCACTAAGATACAGGACCACTGCAGCTCAGAGTTCTGGGTACTGTTTTTCTCAATGACACTGTCAAGTTGAAAGTGCTTTTTACATGTAGGAGCTGTTTCATGGTTGTTTTCTGACCTCATCTCATTTATATCATATTATTCTTAAAACATGAAATACAAGGAGCCATGATTTAAAATTTCAGTGAAGAGCTTCAAGTAGGATTCCATCCATGATCTTCCCACTATTGTGGTCATGTAGCTCATAAGACATATGTTTTTTAGAGTCCAGAGGCCTTAATATATTTTGTCCATGAAAAGAAGAATATTAGATTTGATATTTGATATTTGAGAAGGAAAAGACCATACAGGGGGTGACAGAATACTGGACTGTAGAAAGATGGTCTTCCTAAAAGTTTCCAGGAGGCCACTTACCTAGCTATGTGGTCCTAGTTCATCCAATGTCATATGGATAAAATAGGTGCCACATAAGATTATCTTGAGTATGAGAGTAAAGGTCAATTACCTTCTGCAATTTCAGGTTCACAGAGGTGTGTAATGCATATTTTTAGTGTTCTTTTTTTACACTCAGGACAGAAGTACCTATTCTCTGCTCTAGCAGGTTGTAGAACTGAGAATGTGACAGCTCCTCTTGCTCAGAAGGGACTAGTAGCATCTGCATGCTGCTGTCAACATCTGAGGAGTTAACTGAACCTAGCAAGTCCTCTGATACAGAGTGTCTGAAAAGGGTTGGGTCTACGGACTTTTAGAGCTAGGGGAAAGCTGTGTGGTACGTGCCAGCTGCCTTCCCTAGTCACCTTTAGGTGTGTGCATGTCTGTACATCTCTCTCTCTCTCTCTCTCTCTCTCTCTCTCTCTCTCTCTCTCTCTCTCTCTGTGTGTGTGTGTGTGTGTCTGTGTGTGTGTGTGTGTCTGTGTCTGTGTCTGAGTAGCCATAGATAATTTGGTAGAATTTTCTCTAAAATATTTTTTTAATGATGAGACAAAAATGAATAAAGCAACTGTAAAGCCAAAATCTTCTGTCTTAAAACTATGAAATTTAGAAAGAAAATACAGGGGAAGATGACAGTCTGAGGATTCCTTAGTTATTCAAGTTTGCTTCTATTGCAAGTGTGACTTCTGTTGCTTTTCTCTTTCTCTGAAATAATAATAACAAACACACAGTAGTAAGACTCTCAACTGAAGCTGAGCTCCTTTACAGTCATTGATTCTGCATGTTTTGATGGATGTGGATCTCTGTAGTAGAGTTTTTTAGTGATGTTTGATAATGCCACAGGCAGTCACAAGGTGAATTTCTAGATGACAATGCTCATAGAGTTTCCATGTTCTTGAACAAGTCAGTGTTCGAAAATCCTAAGATCTAAGGACAATGAATTCCTGTCAGTTGGAATTCCTAACAACAGGTTAAAAACGACCTTCACAGAGTAGTCTCTGAAGCCTTCAGCTCCAAAGGATATTATTATAATACTCTATAACATCCTTGTATTGCTTATAATACATTGACTCTGCTTTGTTTTTGTTAACCTACCTCACATATTCTACCAGAATATCAGATGTTTTTAGGATAAATGCTGCAACCTGATTTATTTGTTTTATATTTCTGTGTAGCCAATGATTAGCATGGGATTGTACAATAATTGTATACCCATGACCACTTTGAATGTTTATTGAATTGAGGGGGATATTAGAACAGGGTCAGGAGAGGTGAATGCCGTTCCTAGAATGCACACTTCAGTCATATAGCTTTGCTTCATTAATACATAGCTGGGCACCCATTATGCATCATGCATTTTGCCAGCTTCTGGGGACAAAATGACAAGTAGAGCTTAGCTTCAGCCTTAATGTTATGCGTAGACTTCTAGAGGAATTCATTCATATGTAAGCAAACAAATGCAATAGCGCATGGTCCTTGCTCAAAATCACACAGCCTGTGGGCGATGGATCTGTGATTAAATTTCAAGTCTATTCAGCTCCAAACTCACCAAGCACAACACTTCCAGAGTAGAAAAGCTAGCAGTGTTGAGGGTGGAGTCTGTTCAGACCCCTTAGAGAATGGCAGTAGTTCCTGTTGAACAAGTGTGTGGTCCTACTCTAGAAACACCATTAAATCAAATCATTTTGTTTCATTCACAAACTAGGTCCTCCAGAAGCTGGGAAAAGCTGATGAAACAAAAGATGAGCAGTTTGAAGAATATGTCCAGAACTTCAAAAGGCAAGAGGTGAGTCCAACTCTTACGTTTCTGCAGCAGGGAGAACTGTTTGTGTTTTCATGTTTAGTATGGTTTGGATCACTCTCAAAGCTCATGTGTTGGAAGTTAATCCCTACCATGAAGTCTTAAGGTCCCAATTTAATCTACTATGACGTTTAGAGGCAAGGCCTTTCAGAAGTGGTTAGGATTAGGAAAAAGCTTTCTGGTTGGCTTTATAGGAAGAGGAATAGAGACCAGAGATACATGTGTTCTGATTCTTGCCATGTGACTCCGAGCTGCCTCAGATCTCTGCCAGTAAGCCTGTCATTACCAGTCTACCCAAGAACTACAAGCTAAAATACATCTCAGGTCTTTACACTGTGCTTAGTCTGTTATCCTGGGTTGCTTGCAATAGAAAGTGGACTAACACAGCTTGAGGATGATACTCGATATTTCTATATTTTGTGGAAGCAAGTTTGGAGTATAGCTTCAGGATATTATGTTTCGCTACTCTGGGCCTTTGCAATGAAATGACTAAGCTAATGGAAAGATGGTATTTTGGTATTCCACAGAATCCTAGAAAGGTATTACAGATGTCAATCAAATGATTTCAGTTAGTTCATACTCTAAGACCATGCATTCTTGGGCTGGGGAGATGGCTCAATCAGCTAAGTGCTTACCTCACAAGCAAGAGGATGGGAGTCTTATTTTTATCACACATATAAAAATGCATGATGGTGCACACATATAATCCCAGGGTAAGGGAGACATGGACATGAGAATCCCTGGGGTTTGTTGTCTGCCCAGTCTATGGTGAGCTTTAGGTCAAAGAGAGACCTGTCTCAGAGAATGCAATGGTATTTCTGAGGATGATACCTTAGGTTGCCCTCTGTCTACACACACACACACACACACACCACCACCACCACCACCACCACCACCACCACCACCACCACACCACACACCACACACACAGGTGTACGCGACCCTTCCCAAACACCAAGAAAAGATCATGCATTTTTGACAGATATTACATCTTTCCAAAAGGTTAAAATTTAGTCCTAGTGGGTAAAAGAGAACCTAACTCTTAATGCCTAAAGCACAAATAGACATGTATTACATTCATGAATACATGACATATCTATGCCACTAAAATTTCATAGAGTGTATAATTAAAGAAACAGTGTCTAGTAAGACTCTTCATAGGAGATAATGTAAAAAGTTAGGTCAATAACAGTGTGTGATATTTGTTCCTGTAGTGGACATTTGTTGTTTAACAGACACATAAGTAAATAAATAAACTACTTTTTCAAAGGCCTGTTCTATTCCACAAGGCTTGAATAACTGGCTCAAATATTGTTCTGATAGTAGAGAGGAGATGGGAAGAAGACGAAGACAGTAGACAAATGGAAAATTGGCTTGTACATGGGGCCAAGGTCCAGATGAGCATGTCTGTAGAGAAACTGTGTCCACAGGCAATCTTAAACCAGGGAGTGATAATCAACAATGGAAGATCATTGCAAGTTATTTGGTCAGCTTTGTCCTATATAAAGATCCCTGGTCCTAGAGGTTCTTTATTCCCAGTTACATGAGGGTTTCTATTGTTTCTCTTCTACATGAGACATACTCTTTCTTTTACTTGCTAAGACAGGTTATAAAACTCAACAGCCATAGAGCCATGTAGACTAATCTTCATTAAAATATATTCCTGAATGTTGGCAATTATATTCCAGAACTAAGTATTGGTGTGTGCAGATAGGAACTCAACTTACATAAACCATGAGGATCTTGTTCTATTTAAGAAGTAAGAAAGAGGAGGAAGTTGGAGAACATGTTAGTCAGGGTTCTCTAAAGGAAGAGAACTAATAGAAGAGGAGATTTGTTAGATGGGCTCACAGGATACAGTGTGGGTGGTCTAACAATGCCTGTCTCACACTGGAGAGGTTGGGAATCTAGCAGTTGTTCAGTCTGGCAGGCTGGTTGTCTCACCAGTCCCAATATGACACAGAAGACCTGGACTCTTCCAGATCTGAGAATATTGGTCAGAGAGCTGATGGTCTTTAGTATACATCCCAAAGAAGTTGGCTTTCATATCACTGAAGAACTGTCCCAGCACAGGGATAGATGACCATGACTGTGAGAGGACAAGCAGGAAAAAACAAAGCTTCCTTCTTCCATGTCCTTCGACTTGGGCTGCCACCATATGATATGAGCCATGTTGAGGCTGAGTTTGATCAAGAAAATCCCTCACAGGAATGCCCAGTAGACTGTGTTTCAGTTGATTCCAGATGCAGTCAAGTTGACAACCAAGATTAGTTATCATAGAGAAGAACAGAAGTAGTAGGAGGAAAGGTATATTTACACATTGCTGACTATTAACATGAATGGGATTAATAAACATAGAAAAGAGATTCTAACAGATATGGTAGGTCTGGGCCTACTGGATAAATTGTGCCTATTGTGTCCCAGGACAGCAGATTCTATGTATCAACATCTGTTTTTCCTTTGCACCATTCTCCCACATCTCCTGAGCTTGGACTGCACTCCACAAGGAAAGCAGCCAATTCCCCTGCTGTTACTCTTCCAGACAACCCTCTGTCTGCTTTTGGAGACTGGATTTAGACTGAAGAAGTGACTCTATCTTAGAGCTTTCCCTTCTTGAGGACTAAACCCAATCTTCTTGTCTATTGACTCACTGTGGATCCGATTAGCTGTTTGCATTGGATTTTCTGTCTATCACTTTTGTGGCATTTTTAAGTTTCCCAGAATCCTAGCTGAGAAACTGTCCTGGACTATAATGCATTCATGTCTAAGTGGCACTCTGCATTTTCCAACTATAATTAAAATTGTCCATCTTGTGGACTCTTTTGTCTTTAAACTGGACCAGGTCAGAAATGGTTTTTGGTTGTTTTTTTTCTATCTAAAGTACTAGAGAAAAGTGTACTTTGTTACATTACCAGTTACATCAGATATATGGTCGGTGCCCTTGGAGAAAAGTCTCGGGATCGCTTCAGGGTATTCTACTTCCATTCTCTTTTGTTTATTTGTTTTTGTCTTTGTTTTTGATTTTCAAGACAGGGCTTCTCTGTGCGACCCTGGCTGTCCTGGGACTCACTCTGTAAACCAGGCTAGCCTTGAACTCAGAGATCTGCCTGCCTCTACCTCCCAAGTGCTGAGCTTAAAGGCATGTGCCACCACTGCCCTGTTCTACTGCAGTTCTTGTCACTGAATACTCTTTTAAATGTGGTGGGCAACTGGCTGACAGCCACCCTTGAAGGCTTGTACATTGGCTCTCCTGATAATAATTACGGATTGAAAAATCTGGATAAAACTCAAAAAGTTGGTAAAATGGGAAGAAGGAATTCTACTTTATAACAATGAAGCATGGAGGCTTGACAGGGGACATTTAGTTTCTTAAGTCTTTGAGAATCCCATTCGGTTTCATTTTGAAAACATTTTTACACCAAAACATTATGTTTCTACATGTTTTTCTTAAAGTTTCCCATTGGAATCAGAAAAACTTGGTTTACAGCCTTTATCACAGAATGGAGGCAGAGGGTCCCTGTGTGTTAGAGGCAGAGACTAAGAAGGACAAGAGAGAGGGGTAAAGAGAGGTGGTTAGTTATTTTCTTTTTAAAAAAAAAAAGTTTATTTTTATTTTATGTGCATTGGTGTTTTGCATGCATATATGTCTGTATGAAAGTGTCAGATCTTGGAGTTACAGACACTTGTAAGCTGCCATGTATGTGCGGGGAATTGAAACCAGGTCCTTTGGAAGAGCAGCCAGTGCTCTTAACCACTGAGCCGTCTGTCAGGCCCCATAGTTATTTTCAACAGAAAAAATGCTCCACATTAAGAACCATAGTTGAAGACTGAAGAAATTTTGCTTTAAAGACAACAAGATTTTATAGAGAACAAGATCCTTTTTACCTTTAAACTGTATTGGTAATTGCAATGGTCAATCTTAATTGTAAACTTGACTGGATTGGTAAACACCTAGATTAGGAGAGCAAACCTGTTTGTGAGGCTATTTCTTAAGAGATTAAGTAGAAGGGAAACCTCCTGAATGGAGTGATACTAGCAAATAGACAGGAGGCCTAAAGTGAATAAAGAGAGAAGTAAGCCTTTATTGTTCTGTCACTCTTCTCTGTTTTCCGGTCTCCATGAAGTAAGCAACTTTGTTTCTCTGCCTGCTTCTGCTTTGCCATTCTGCCTCACCATGGTCTAGAAATGCTAGAGCCAGGCACTATGTACTGAAACCATTGAAACAGTGAGCCTAAATCCTTATTTAATTTCTTTTCCCTCTCAAGCATTATCACAGTGGTTAAAAAAAAAAAAAAAAAAAAAAACAGAAAGAAAGAAAAGAAAATCTGACTAACAGAGTGACCAGTTCACATCTGATGCATGTGCTGGAAAAGGTGTGGTATTCCTGAACAAATACTAACATAATAATAATGACCCACCAAGACAACAGTTACCTCTACAAAGTCTAGTATTCTTAATGTTGTAGCATGGTGACTTGTTATCCAAAGACAGAATCTCAGATGAATGTAGCTGGAGAGCTTCTCTCCTGGTCCCGCCAAGCCCCGGCAGTCCGACAGACCAATTATAAAATAAACACATAGACGCTTATATTATTTACAAACTATATGGCCATAGCAGGCATCTTGCTAACTATTCTTATATCTTATATTAATCCATTTCTATAAATCTATACCTTGCCACATGGCCCGTGGCTTACCGGCATCTTCACATGCTGCTTGTCATGGCGATGGCTGGCATTGTCTCCTTCACTCAGCCTTCCACTTCCCAGAATTCTCCTCTCCTTGTCCCGCCTACTTCCTGCCTGGCCACTGGCCAATCAGTGTTTTATTTATAGAGAACCATATCCACAGCAGATGAATGTCTGTCTAAAATTAGACAACTGAGAGTTCGTGCTTTTCGAACAAATATGTGTTTTTCAATCACTAATGATGTGATTGACAGTATACAATGAACTAAATTTTTATTTGTATATAATAGTCATGTGACAATAAATGTTTTAAAATTTTATTTTGTAAAATAAGCATCCTCATAGTTGCTGGCATGTGCCCTGCTAGTCTTTGTTGGAATAAAGGTTGTATGAGGTCTGTCCTTTGTCCCTGGTTTGGAGCTTAGATTTAATTTATTCCAGCCCCACATTTTTTTTTTTTTGCTTTAATCTCGTCTCTTTTTCTGAAAGATGATTTGTTTGAGACAGACTCCCTGAAAGATCTGTATGCATGGGCCCATTGGTCTGTTGGACTCCAAGTACAGTTTTTGTGGCCCAGATTCCAAACTGCTTAATTAGGCTAAAGAGGAATGGAGAAATGAGGGTAGAAGAGCAAATGGAATCAATGAACTCTAAGAAGAATTGGGAATTTTCCATGATGAGAACTAATCCAGCAGGAAGCAACACAATCTCATGTTAATCCTCCCTCACCAGAGGTTGTTTCCCTTTTCCTGACTTTTCTCTTTTATTAGCGTTTCTAACAAGTAGCAAAATTAATTTGTGTGAGCACCAATTATTTTCAGCTAACCTAGCTGCCTGCTGGTGGACCCCTTACTAAGTGGCAAAAAATCCTTGGTGGGAGGAGGGACCATGCCTTTTCTTTTTCCTGCCTAATAAACTCACCCTTCCTGCTAATAAGCTCACCTTTGGCAAGTTTGCTAGGATAATGAAGGAACTGGTGGGCTGGCTGGACCCACGTCAGCACCTATCAGGATCACATCTTGGTAATAGCTGATGTGAGCACACTTATCCAGGTCAGATCCAACAGCAGTGTTTCAAACCCTGAAAGAGAGAACTCTGATTCACTATCTCCATTGCCTCTGTGAAGGGCCACAGCAGGGGTGGTTCCTGCTTCCTTCTCAGACACTCTTCAGGGTGCCTGCTTTTGGTGCAAATGCTTAGGATCAGATGTGTTTCAGATCTTGGAGACTCATAAATGTGGGAATATCTGTATAGATTTTACTTGTTTAAAATCATTTATCTGAAATTCCAAAGTCTGAAATACTTCTAAATTCAAAACTTTATAAAGGTTTCCATTTCAGAGTCTTTCGGATTTTAAATGTTCTGATTCGAAATGCTCAACCTGTACACACCAAGAAGAAGAAAATATCCTAGGACCTTGCCATCCTTTTCTGCTGCAATTGCATATCCAGAGACTCCGTTTACTAGGCTACCCTGGCAGCTTCTGGCTTCCCTGCTTCACCACTCACCCTTTGACCTCCACAGGACCTGAAGTCTTGCTCTGAATGAACACATGCTTGCTGATACTTGACTGTATTGGTAAACACCTAGATTAGGAGAGCAAACCTGTTTGTGAGGCTATTTCTTAAGAGATTAAGTAGAAGGGAAACCTCCTGAATGGGGTATGTTTTCAGTTCAGAGATGAAAGAGATGTTTATTATGCGTATCATTGAAGACACTTTTATGATGTATTCAAGAAACTTGGGTGTATATCAATGATTTAATAAAAAAATTACCATCATATATAGTCAGGTGGTGGTGGTACATGCTTCTAATCCCAGTACTTGGGAGGCAGAAGCAGGCAGACCTCTGGGAATTTGAGGCCAGCCTGGTCTATAAAGCTAGTTCTGGAACAGTGAGAGCTACACAGAGAAACCCTGTCTCACTCCCCACCCCCCAAAATTAGAAAGTATATTTTAAAAGCACATAAATAAAAAGTATATTGCCCTCTGTGCTGACATATGAATTGAAACTTACCATTTTATTAGGGTAAATTGCACTTTTGTTCTGAAATGCTGGAAGTTTGGCTAAATAGGTAGGCTTAGCACATACCTTTGGAGGAGTTTTCTAACAATAAGCAACCATAATGTATACATGTTTGTGCATTCATTCACCTTTCATTGAATATGAACAATGACTTTTTTTCTGAACTAGCCACTCCCTTGATTAAACAAGAGCCCATCTGGTCTGTTCTGCATAATGATCTGGTTCTAAATCACAGCCTTGTGAATCACAGTTAGACAACAAATCTTCCTTTCTGGTCATGAAACCTTCTGGAGTTGGAATAAGCGTCTCATTTGTTGAGCTGTATGCTTACCAGAGCAGTGTCAGTCAGAATTTAGCTTCTTCAGAACCACCTGGAAGGTTTTAACATAACATAGATCTCTTGGCTGAATCCCAGAGTTTCAGTTTTCATAAGTCTGGGGCCAGCCTTAAGAGTCTGCATTTCTGACATGCTCCTAAGTAACGTCAATGATACTGGTCCAGGGACAGTACATGCAGGACCTATACATTCACACAACTGATGCATTACTCATACAGTGTTTTCTGCTGCCTTCTCTGGTTAGTCCCTCACCCTTCTAACACTATGGGCAGTGACTAGCTTTAGCATCTTGACATATGGGACGAGTTTGTTGATCATGCTTTGGCTGATCTGTGTATACATAGGATCTAACGAGCAGAAAGGACTTGTCTGTAATGCACATGACACCAAGTGCTGAGATAGTGCTCTCAAGGCCTTGAGGTTGCCATGACAGCAGAAGCTGCATATCCTGCTAAAGTAGGATGTACTTGTGCTTACATTTTAGTGGGAATGAATTGCATGAAGGTCTTTATAGGTTCTATGGTTTAGAAAGGGAAATTTTAGTTAGCATTAGTACTCTAGATTTAGGTTATTGGAGTAAAATGAAGTGTTTGGGGGAATCTGATACATTGTAAAACCTTAAAGATGAAAGCATTTTCTCTGAAAGTAGCTGGAACCCGCTAGAAGGAAAACTTAGAAGATTAAATGCACACACTAGAAGCAAGAAATGATCACAAATCATTAATCTAGTTCTTACCTCAAGAAATTAGAAGAAGTGCAAAATAAACCTGAGCAAGCAAGACTAAGAACATAAATCGATGATCCTGAAAATAAGAAAGCAGTGAGAAGATATATGAAACAAAAAAGCTGGTTCTTTGAAACAAAAATCAATAGAATTGATAAACTCTAGGCAAGAGTAACAACAAAAGACACAAATCACCAGTCTGAGAAATGAAATGGTCTCATTTTAAACTGTAGCCAGTTAAAATATAGCAAGGGGATATTGCAATCAACTCTGTATTTAATCATTTAACAACCACAGTGGACCAATTCCTCCACAGCTATAAACTACTAAGATGGGATAAGCAATCGAATATAAACATTAGAGAAAGTGAATTTGTGATTTAAAGTTTGATAAGGAAATTTCCAAGCCCATGTTGTTTTGCTGGAGACTCAAGATACTTAAAGTAGAATTAATATCAGTTTTATAAACTGGTAGAAAACAAGAGGGAACACTTTAGCTCAATCTGAAACTGTGATACAATCCAGTATCTCTTGATACATTTGAGCCTTCTTCCCTCCCATATTTGTGTGGCGTTGAGACACTTGTTACTCAGTAATTCCTACACAAATATTTATTTGTACAACTTTCTTTTTGTAATAGTTTTCCTGACACAAGTTACATCTCTCCTTCCCCTGTGTGGGAATGGAGAGTAGTACCCCATGATCTAGCTGGGGGCTGACTCATATCATTGTTCCTTTTCTTTCCTACCACTTTCAAGAACTACTGGCCATAAACCCCTAGCTAATGAACTCACCAGCTGAGAGTCCCCCTTGCCTGGTACAGTGTCTTCATTCTGCTAATGCTGGCTTTAAATCAGGGAAATACCTTGGCTATTAATATCAAATTATTGAATTTTATAATGAAGATTATTAAAAAGTACCTGTGGTATGAAGTTGACCCATGGCTACACTATATTGAACTTAAAAGCCCTATTATATATGCAGTTATATTGAATTATAAATATTATTAATATCTTAAAAAGTCAGTTAATCTGGTATGAACTGAGCATGAAGGTCATAATTCACTTCTTCACACACTTGTGGTATGCTATTAGATGAACATCATGGATTTGGTGACATGTCCTTGAACTACTGTGATGAGGGTAGTCTACTTTTATACTTTAAGAGTTAGACAATTAGTGTAAATGCACGGTTTGTTTCTATTTATCCTGCAGTGGTTCTTAATCTTCCTAATGCTATGACCCTTTAATACAATCCTCATGTTGTGGTGACCTCCAACTATAAAATTATTTTTGTTGCTGCTCCATAATTGTAATTTTGCTAGTGTTATGAACTGTATTGTAAATATTTTTGGAGATGGAAGTTTGTCAGGGAGGTCATGACCCACATGTTGAGAACCACTGCCTAACAGGATGAAATGTTGTTCTTGGTTTTTAGGAGTGAGATCTCTGCTTGAGATGTCTTTGTGTCTGCCTCATACAGTGACCCTAAAGATCCAAGGCAGCTCATTTATAACCAGTCACGCTCTTTTTTGTTTTTGTTTTTTTTGTAGAAAATTGTCAAGAGAAATGAAGCACTAGATTCCACAGCATGCAGGAGTTGACTCTAATTACCCCTGTTCCATCATGACCAGTGAGAGAAATCAGAGTAGCATCCTCAGTGCTGGGATGAGGGCTCACTCAGGCCTCAAATTACAGGGTATTTATTTATAGAACATGATTTTTCTTCTGTTGTCTACTTGGAGTACATTACCTCAGTAAGCATTATTCCAGGTCATATTGAGAAAAAGAAATCATTTGCTTACGCCATGGGATGCAGAAAATAAAATATCTAAGTTGTGTAAATATTGTATAGCAGAGCTCTGTCAAATCACAGTAGTCAACAGATTTGAAAGGGCATGCCACCAAATCCATGATGTTTACTTAGCAGGAAGCTACAAGCATATGACAAAAGACATTGATGTCTAGGTTTCAACCCCTTGGTTGACAACCTTTAGCAACTCACGGGTTTATACTGGATCAGTCTTATCTTTGTGCCCTTTGTGCAACTGGGAAGGCTGTTTTAAGTGGAAGGAAAGGAAGGT